AAAAAAACAAAAAATTTTTTGCAAAAAGAGAACTGAAGTTTTGTAAAGGAGTTTTAAAGATTTTTTGTATAAAATCTTCAATATTCATTCAATATTGATATATAATATATTAAAATAAAGCTCTAAGTGAGCTCTGTCTTTTTGTATAAAAAAGCAACTAAAGTTAGCTTAATAAATTATTGAAAAATTTTAGAAAAAGTATTTTGCAGTTTAATAAATATATTTCACTATACAAAGGCCCAGTAGATATAAAACTAGACTGCCTATATATAAAATTCTGATGTGAACAATTTTACTTAGAAGGCCAAAGAAGTTTACTTAATAAATTATTTAGTTATTGCAAGTTTATTATCAGAGAATTTAGGTACAAGTGATCATCAAGAAGAGTTAATATTTATTTATTTTACTCTTCTAATTTCCAATTTAGATAATCTAATATAGTATATATATATAGTTTTTTTCTCTGATGATTCTAGCAACCTAGTTGGTTCTTTATATATCTTGTCATCTGATTTATTTATTTATTCTTTTGGTGATGTTTTATAGGCTTTTATCAATTTAACTATATTATCAAAAGTTTATATTATCTTTTTATTCGGAAATTTCTAAATAGATTTCTGATTTCTTAGTTTCTTAGTTTACTGCACCTAGTAATCTTATTATGAGTTGCACTAAAGCCTTATATAATATTAGTTATATATTTATATATATATATGATATTACACTTTGTATAAATATTCTGAGCTTTTATTTAAGATAGTGTAACTTAAGATTACAGATATGCTAATTTAACTAATTGTTAAGAGACAGTTTGTTATAATACAAATATAATTTTTAAATTTTATTATAAATAAGATTTAAATACTAGACCTGTTATTTAAAGGATAACAATTTGATTACTATATTATAAGCATTATTTTTTGCTCTTATAATATTCTTTAATTATTCTAAAATAATATTTTATAATTTTTTATATCTACATCTTAGTTTATAAAGAATTATGACCTATATATTCAGAGCTTTGTTAGAATAACTTAATATATATCTGAATCTATATCAAAATAAGATAAACCAAAAAACAAAATATATAGAGAAACATATAATTAATCAGATTACTAGAACTTACTAAAGAAAAAAGATACAAAAGTATATTATATCAAATTATCTAAATTAGTAGTTTTGAAAATCAAAAATTGTACTAGAAGAAAATTAGTAAAAAAAATAAAAAAAATAGTAAAAAGATAGATACTAAGATTTGTTAAACTTTATAAGTATAAAAAAAGTATAATATAATAGTTTAAGTTAGTTTTAATAATATTCTAAGTTAGTAAAAAAATTTTTAATCAATTAATTACTACTTAATTTTTTTTACTATATGTCAAATTTATTAATTAGCTAATCAAACTAAAGAAATTAATACAAACTAATTCAAATAAATAGAATATATAAAATTTAACTAATTAATAATTTAATTAACTTGTTATTTCAAAATTTTTTAAATTAATTAATTAGAAAATTATTAATTAGTTAGTTTTTTAATAAATAATTTAGATCACTAAACTCTAACTGCAAATATTAGATAACTATAACATATTATATAAATCAAATCAGATATATAAAGGTATAACAACTTAGTAAAAGGGGTGTGGTGACCTAGTGAAGTGAATAGGTTGTCAACCCCCAAGTGGCAGGTCTAAAGTTCAATTCCCACAGATGACGAATTTTGAAAATTATATCTGTATTATAGTAACTGTCTCTACCGATCAGTTGGGTTTTGGGCATCTGTAATCTTAGGTACACCAAGTCAGGCCCCACCTGACATTGGGAGCTCAGGGCATCTATGTGAAGTATAACATTACATAGTACATGTACATAGAGGAATGTAAAACTGGTATCATATAAGGCTTTGGGCAAACCCATGATAAGTCTCTCGGGTGTAGAAGGCTAAGAAACTGAAGAGACAGAAACCCACTTGGAAATCCTAAGTAAAGAGGTAGCACAAACTTTCGATAGTGCCATTGGACTGATGGAAGCCTATGAAACATCTTTATAGGAACTGTCGGATAAACTGAATGACAAAGATGTATAGAGGAGCACATGACCAACCAGGCTGCCGAAATCGCTGGAAGAAAAAGATATATAAGTATACCATACCAGGCTATCTGAATTGGAAGTTTGGGGAGTCAGTTAGTCCCAAGTTGCGGCTAGTAGGGAATAATGGAGAAGAAGTCAGAAAGATAGGTACCAAAGTTTGGATGAACTTTACAAGGGTAATAGCGATTTAAGAAATAACCCTAATTGCAAGTATTAGTCTCGGCTATAGCATTAAAACCAGGTTAGCAGTAAAAGGGAATACGGCTCATTCTAGTAGGTTTATCTCGAGGATAACTGTCTTATAGTTAAAAGCGAACAGATCTAGGTCTGTAATCCGGTGAAATTAATACTAGGGTTAGATCAGAGGGTTTAAATGAAACATCTAAGCAGGGGTGTTAGGTACAGCAACTGATAGGGAACCCTTGGGCAGACTTCTTAAATAGGTAATATAGAAAAGTTACATGTATAGCCAGTTGTACACTCGTCTAATAGTTCAATATGGATACGTCTGTATAAAACATGTATCTGATATAAGTATTAATAAAAAGCTAGTACTAAAGAGGTCACCTTAACACCAAAAAAAAAAAATAACAACTTAGTAAAGTAAATAAGTTGTTAATCTTTCAAGTAATAGATTGTGAGTTTAAAACCAATTAACAGCAAAAATTTAAATAATCATCTATAATATATAAACAGTATTATGATGACAGTATTCTAATGATTAGTTAGAATAAGATATCTGTAACTATAATTATATCAATATGACTAACAGATTATAAAATATTTGTGTAATTGATTATACAGAGAAATACAAACTAATAATAGGCAGTATAAATCCAAAATGAGTTCTTGTAGTTATATAAATCTATAAAACTAAAAAACCAAAATTTATTTAAAAAGATCTAAATAGAGAAGTAATATAAAATTTTAATAATATTACTGTAAAGACTAAACCTAGAAAATAAATACTAATATAAAAAAATTATAGAGACAAGAATTTCAAATAAGAAGTACTACTAACTAGACTGCCAGAAATCTTAAACTAAAGAAAAAGAATATCAAATATTATAATTTAATATATTAAAGACAAATTACAATTCTTTTAGTTTATTTAGATTAAGAATCTTATATCAAAAGTAAGAATATACTATAAGTATTAGAGATATACTATAAAGTAAATACTAAAGTTTAAATAAATTCTGCAAAAATAAATTTAATTAATAAGAATTAAATGTAAATCATTAGTTAACAGAAAGGCTCTTTAGTGTTTTACAGTTAGATAATATATTCTGAAATATGTAATAGCTTGACAAATATATAAACAGAAAAGTTAGAATTAAGTTAAATATTACTTAAATATATGAAAACTTGTATAATTATCTGTCAGATGTAGTATAAAAAATAGAATATTTAATTAAGTAATCTTTTAACAAATTACAGATATGATAGCTAAAGTAAAACTTGCAAGCAGACTACTTAAATAAATAGCTAAAAACTATATATATAACTAATTGCATACTCACTTTATACAAGTTATACAGTACAAAAATTCTTAAATCAACAAATAAAATACATATATTTTAAAATCTTATAAACAAAAAACTATAACAATTACAAACTAAATCTTTTTATAAAATAATAAAATATAATTTAAAGAATATAACTATAATATTTATTTTTTTAATTAATTAATATTTTATAATATAAAATTTTTTTAAAGTTAGTTAATTTTATTAATAAAACTAAAATTTGGCTAGTTACATAACACCAAAAATAAAGCAGTTTATTAAGCAGAATGCATAATAATAAATTATATAACTACTGTAATATAGTAGTTTGATATATATTAAAAAGATTAATAAACTTTATTACAATTATTATAGTAAGTTTATTATAGTTTGTGTATAATCTTATTACCAAATCTGTAATAATGTATTAATATGTTTCAGTAATACATAAGCATTATATAAATATAGTAGATCAATAGAAATTTTTTTTTTTTTAACAAAATGAAATAAAAACTTTAAAAGGTTTTCAGAACCATAATTGTTTAAGCTATTGAGAAAAGGTTTATTAGTATTGAATTAAAAAAAAGAACAAGTAAAAATAAAAAAAATAAAACCTTACCTAATGCTATATATGATTATAAGTAAGATAGATAAATAAAGAAAGTCAATATTGGTAAAGACTTGGTTAATCTTTAAGCATATAATAACAATATAAATTTGAGTTAAATAGTTGAATATATTAGAAAGAACTAATAAAATTATACTTATTTGAAAATGTAGTATAGATATTTTAAACTAGTATTGATTTTTAAAACTTTTGTATAATTTGTAATATAAAAAATTTGCATGCTGTTTAAATATTGATTAATATAATAAAACATATCAAAAGAAAAGACAATAAAAAAAAAATAAATAAAATGTAGTTTATGCTTATATAAAAAAAGTTGGTATTTAAATACTCAATTGACTTTGCAAAATCAGTTTTATTTGTCAAATATAACATTTTACCAAAATAAGATAATTAATAAAAAGAAAAGTTCAGGATGCAAAGAATAGCTAAGAGATAGCATAGATAGAAGCTTCAGAAACTTGTAGCAGCAGTAATGATAAACTTAATGATGTTAAGAAAGAGAAAATAAATATTTTAAAACCTAAGAAAGCAAATAATATAATTACAAGGTTGATGCTGACAGTTTCAAAAATAACAACTTATTGGCTATTTGTGTATATTGGAAACTCAAAAAAAGCAAAAAGAAGACAAAAATAAATACAATGAGAAACTGCAACTAGAACATCCAAATTAGAATTATTTTGACTATTTGTAAGTTATTTTTTATTAAATACAAATGCTAATTATAATATAAATTAATGTTAAATTACTTTAATCTTTTTAAAAAGATGAATAAATATATAAATATTGATAATGATAGTATGAGTAATATATTTGGTTCAGATAGTGATTCTAAAATTTTTAGAAATGATTCTGAAGTTAAAACTGTTAAAAGTCACAATATTATGTTCTTAGAATACTTAAACAATACTATTAAGCAATTGAAAAAAGAAATTAAGAGTAATAAACATAATGAAATAGTAAAAGCATGTCTTTATACAATACTGTTTTATTTTCATCTTATAGAGTATAGCTATAAAAAGATTAAGGCAAGCATTATTGTAGCAAAAGCAGCTAAGAAAGATGTTTATTATACTCATTGCATATATACATAAACAATAAATTATATTAAAAATAGTAAATTTCCAATTTCAAAACAAGACAAATATCCAAAAACTTGAAATTTTCTATGGAATAATAATGTTTTAATTTAGATCAAGTCATTTTTTTAGTCAAATAAGTGGAATGTTAATTCAGACAAACAGGCAAAATATGTAAATAAAAAAATATTTCTAAAACTATGCTTTGATTCATTACCAACTATATATATAAAAACAGCTAAAAAGTAACTAAAAACATTTGGGTTTGAGTGCTTAGAAGTTAGAAAAGAAATGTATATAAATGGGCATGAGCATGCAGATGTAGTAGTTTATTATAAAAAGTTTTTGGAAAGAATAACAGAATTTGAAGCACATATGGTGGTTTTCTTTGATAAAAATATGAAAGAAAAAACTAGATCAAATTTTGATAATATTATTATTTTAGTAATATATAATAAATGCATTTTTTTAGCTTATGATAGAAGATATTAGTTATGGTTGCTAAAAGAAAAGCAACTATTTTGCAAAAAAGACCAAGAGCAATCAGTTCATATAAGTAAATTTTTTACTGATATTGGTAAGCATTTAGCATTATATGAAGAAGACAAGATATATATGCAATGTCTTATTTATTTATTATTTTTATAATTAGAAAGTTCTAATTAAAATTTTTTAGGTTGTTTTTTCTAATTTTCTATTAGAAACATATGTTATAACTTATCCAAATAAAGATAATGATGGATAGTAAAATTTAGATAGTCTTGTGAATTAGATGATAAACCATGAATCTCAATATTTAAAACTCAGTTTCTAGAGTGCAAAGGCCCTTTTTGCATTTAATAATGCAACTGATCATTGTGCATATACTGAAGATGTCCTTTTAGCAAAAAAAACATAAATTTGTCTCCTAATAAAAAATAGCCAAAAATGAGGTTTGTACATTATTATAAATATTTTAAATTTTTATAATAATATATTAATATTAAATATTATTGAACAATAGAAGTACTATATATGGAAATAATATCTCACAAGATATGTGCTTTTCTGAAGATTATAAAAACTCTGATCTCTGTAATAAACCTAAAAGCCTAAAGCAAGTATTAAGTAGTGATATGATGAAATGAGATTGATATGTAAAAAAGAGTTTGAACAAGAAAGAACTGATTGCTATACTAGAACAACAGTGGCAAACCAACTAGATTTTAAAGTATAATATAGAAAAGTTGAAGCAATTATTTCTGCAGGTTATGAAGTTATTTTTTATCCAAAGTTTCATTGTAAGTTAAATGATATAAAAAATTTTTAGAGGTTAGCAAAGTGATATGCATATAATCACTATAACTATACATGAGAAGGTTTGAAGAGAACTGTACTATAAGCTCTTGAATTAGTGCCTTTTATTAAAATTAGACAATATGCTTAGAAGTCCTTTAGATATATAGATGTATATTGCAAAAGTTTAACAAAAAAACCTACAGAATATGTTGTAAAAAAATATCAGTTATATTACTGTATACTAGATACAATTTTAAATAAAATTGATGCATTGGACAATTAATGAGTAGATAACAACTTTATTTCTGTGATACTTAATTTTTTTATTATATTTTTATCTTTTGTCTTTTAATAAAGTAAGTTTATATTCAGATATATTTATTATATATTAATATTATTAGAATTGGGTTTAAAAAGAAAAATATATTATTATAAAAAATTTAAAATATTAGAATTTGATAAAATATTCATAGTTGTTATTGAGAATTGAAATCAAATTGAATAAATACAAAATATTTATTATTAAATTTGTAGCATGTTAAAATCAAAATTTTATCAATATAAATACATTATTTCAATAAACTTATAACCAAATTATAATAGTTAGTATTGTTATTAGTTCTTATAGTTTTTTATTAAAATAATAGAATTCAAAATAGTTTTTTTAAATCAAACTTCTGAACATGAGTGTATATATATATATTGAGTGTTATTTTTAATTAAAATAATTGTAATTACAAATATGATTACTAAAGCCAACCAATTTATCATGAATCTGAATTTGTTAATCTTAGATTTATGATAAATTGACTGGTTTTAATAATCACAATTACAAAAATTTAATATAAAGATTACTTATATAATGAAGCATCATGCATATATATTATATTCAATATATACTAATTTTATTTCTATTAGATTTTTATAATTTTTTTTGATATGAAACATAGCTTAGTATAAATTTTTTTAAATAATATTTTTCACTAATTTAAGGTTTATATAAAAGCTACTAATATAATACTTGATAAAATAAATATCAAATTTTATCTTTATTTTAGAAATCTTTTATTTAAAAATCTAATATATTAATGTAACAGTAATCAACTTAATAGATTAAACTAAATTAAATTGCTTTCTCATGCATATCATTATACAAATCATGATATAAATCTTAATTTCTATATGAATTATGATATGAATTACAATATGAATTATAACAGATTATGATATGAATCTATAATACAAATTATAAAAATGAATGTTACTAAGAAAAAATCTTTTATTGGACTTTTAATTATAGTTGGTATACAATTGGTTATTTATAAAGAATTTATTATTATGATAGATTTTTTATAAATAGTTAAGTGTATATAAAATATATTTCTTTAATGATACTTATATAATAATTCTATTTTTTTTTATTAGCTAAATTTCTTGTAATTTTATTGGCTCTGATCTCTTCTGACCTAAGACAAAATTTGATTACATATATTAGAACTTGCTAATTTAAAGATTCTTGTATTGTATAATTATAATTAAATTATAATAAAGGCAGTAGTCACTAATAACTAATAATCTTAATAAAAATAAAAAAAATTAGATATATATAAAATATAAAAAACTATACCTTTAATTGATAATTTGCCAGTTATCTAAACAAAGATCATAGTGTAATGTGATACAAATTACTATATAATTTACTATAGAATGAAATGTAACATACATCTATTTAAAACCTTTTTTGATATTATATTAATAGTTCAAGTTGATTAATTAAAAGTTGTAGAGCTCACTGAGATGCATCTAATAATAATTAGATCATCCAAATCTGTCTAGTAGATGCTGAGATATTGTTAAAAAATACTTAACCAAATATATAAAATTTTATACAAACAGACTATTGTTTATATAAAATTTTATATAGAATTTTACATAATCAATCAAACAGTTTTTGATAATATCTTAACATCTACTAGACTGATTTGAATGATCTAACTATCATTAAATACACCTCAGTGAGTTCTACAACTTTCAATTAATTGACTTGGACTGTTAACTTAGTATCAAAAAAGGTTTTAGATAGGTACATGCTGCATTTCATTCTATAGTAAATTATATAATAATTTGTATCATGTTATATTATAATCTTTGTTTAGATGACTGATGAATCATCAATTAAAGATAAATAAAATAAAAATTTTAAAGATACAAATAAGTATTTAGAACTTCTTGACTGATATATGTACTAACAATGTTTTAATAATACAGTAAAGATTACAATATAAAGAGTTTAAATAGACAATACTTGTAATTGAATTGCAGATATAACAACTAGTATAGAACCATTAGCAGATTATTTAAATTAAACATCAAAAATATACATGTAACCAAAAACTCTTTCTGCTGATCTCAATTTTACAAAAATAAAAAAAGTGTACATCAAAGTTTACTCAAAAACTACTCTAAG